TGATGCTTCAATTTGAAATTTCAAAAAGAAAAAAAAAATGCTTGAAAGGGGAGGAGGATGTATTGGGTGGTCGCAGGTGGAGCAGAGGCAAAATTCGATGGTCGCAGGCGGAGGTGAAGGCTGGAATCAGTGCTCGTAGGTGGAAGCGAAGGCCGGAATCGGTGGTCGCAGGCGGAGCGGAGGCCGGTTTATGTGGTCTGAGGCAGAGGCGGAGGCCGGATTCGATTGTCTCATTGTCTGAGGCGGAGGCGAGGCATGAAGAGGGAGGTTGCTGTGGCGATGTGCGACAGTGCGAGGGTTTTTTTACGTCTCTATATAAGTATAGTCTTTTTATTATAATTTGCTTCAACCAAACCAATATACACTATCCTTTGTCTCATACTACATTGAACAAGAAAATTCATTATGCCTCGACTTCAAGTTGGACAAATGCAGGATGAGTGCTTGTATGATTCTTGTTGAACAAATGAGGCGGAAAACTTGTTCATTGACCTCATGTTAGATCAACATGTTAACGGTGATTGAAATATGGTCGGCCAACTCAAAATCAACTTGGTATTTGTCTTGAAATTCTGAATAACTTGTTGGAGAGTGACTTTTCTTTTGCTGAGTTGCAAACCAGTGTAGACTTCACTGACAAGCGTTACTTTGTTTTTTTGGGGATGTTGTAGACACACGGGCTCCAGCACCACAAGCATTTCAATGTCGTAATTGGCCCCGTGTCTGTTTGGGTTCAATCTTTTCAAGTCCTATAGTACTTTGCTTCCCAGTTTATAACCCAAAGACTTCATTTGTACTGATGTCTACTTTGTTCTTCCTGTATTTTTTGTAGTCAATCCGTTTAGCGTGGCCTAACAGGACTTTGGCGACCTTAGGTGGGAGGACATTCAATTTCTTTATGGTGAAGTTTTTCGGGTTGGGCTAATCCAAGTAAGGGTTGTGGGTGGTAATGTGGCTAGAGTTGTTGCCTTGTATACAACTCTGGATAGGAGTGTAGTCGACACCGTTAAACCTTCTGTAGAGCATGAGGGTAGTATTGGACCACATAACATAGTCCGCGCATTCGGTCGTCCACGAGAATTTGATGTCTCTTCTAAGTGTTCCATGAATTCGCTAAGCCATTTTGTAATTCCCCGCACTCTATCACAATCTTTTTTCTACTATTGAATATTTATATTTTGGAATTGTACTCTCCTTTTATATAAAATATATTAGCAAACTCAATTATCAAAACAAGGGTTTAAAACCAAATTTTACATGATTTATATATCAAAGTAACATATGTCATATAAGCTTATACATACTCAAAAGGATCAAAGGACGATTTACAAAAATTTACACATATCTGAGTTTATCAAAAGAGGTAAAACTATGAAAGACGAAGCCCACTTAATAGCCCAACAGGTCATTATCTATGTACATGTCCTCAAAATCCCTTTGGATCCAACTGTTCCGACTGCTAGTACTCGATGATCCGCAAATTACCAACAATGCATAAAATACATGAGCCAAAACTATGCGTAAAAGTCATCAATGCCAAAAAGTAATATCATCAACTAATAAATTCCAACATGAAATGCAAATGCTTGTATATGACTCATATTGTAACAACTTTTCTTTCTCGGTCGGCAGCGCCACACGCGCATCGTCTGCACCCAACGCCTGACGCGCATCGCCTGCACCTAGCCCCCGACGAGCAACTCCAGCCTGCAACACCCGACACTTGACGACCGCATCCCAACGCCAGCCGCGTGATGCTTATATGTAGCACCCGTCGTGCGACGACCGTTCCCGGCGGATTTCGCATGAGGCCGACGCACGACGTACGCTACACAATCACACTCGGACAAGAGCGATCCGGTGATCCCGAGGCCCGATTCGGCAATCCCTAAGATAGTCCGACTGCCTAACGGACTCTGGGATTCAGACGATTTCCAACATCTGAAATGAGAAATGTCTCAAAGTCGGCAAAATATTAAACTGTAAGTTATAATCCCAACTACAAATTCTTCTGTGTTATAATTTAATTCGTTAGATTTAGATGTGCATATCGATGACGTTCCTTATAGAACCCAACCAACGCAAGAAGATGATCATCATCGATTTTCAGTAGGAATAGTTTGAGTCGTCTAGGTGCGGAGGTCTCGACATGGATCCACCGTTGTGATTCATGATTGTCGAAGTACAAGTTCGCAAGATCTACGTATAAATAAACGAAAGCTCGCTCTAATAGCAATTGAAATTTTGGGGAGATTCAAAATTGCGCTTTAATAAATTAAACTATGAACGTTCACTGCAGTTGCGGAAGCAATTCAAACAGAAACGAACCTTCAGGAGTACATCCCACTTGCGACCGGATCTCTTTCATTCAAATAAGTTTTTTGGCCCAATACAACTAGAATTTACAACAAAGATGTCCTCTTTCTAACCTACGTTGTACTTACTTATCTAATTACTTTTCTAGTCACTCTTCATGGACTTTGTCTACAACACGGATCCCTCCGTGCAAATGAGGAAATGTTCGTCGCAAGCAATTTGCAAAGTTGTGTGATTCAAATCAGAGTTGAAGTCTCTTCTAGTTTAATCATTCACTCAGAAACAAATAAAAACTAAACAGTGATCATTCTATTTCCACTCTCTCGCACCTTCTATTAAGATGATTATCACTATCTAAAACTAAGTGAACGAGAAGGCTAAATACAAGTTATATATGGTAAGTAGGTTCTTCAGCAACTTCCAAATCAAATATAAAATCTTTCTAACATAATTAAATCAATATATCCAAGAATAACAAATCAAATATAGAAAATAAAGAAATCCGTGAATACTTCCCTTACGGTGTGCATATTAACATCATCAACGTGTGCATGCCACATAAACGATGTGCATATTAACATGTGTCCACCGTAGGTACGGGAGCATTACTCTTCGATTTAATGCCAAAAATAAAGAATCATATGTGCACCTATTATAGTTCTCCTCTACTTCCATTCAGCAAGACCTATTAATTGCACATTAACAATCAACAGAAGAATGCAACACTTGTTTTATACATTTCTTGTTATCCACTTTCAGCCTCTGAATAATAACATCATCTCAGTATATTTGGACAAGATAATCACATCAAACCAAAATGTTGTATGACAATATTAATAAACCCAAAAAGAATTACAATCACATCAAAGAATGAAAGAATACCACAAAAAAAAGAAGAAAAAAAAAAAAGAAGATATATATTTTGTTTCCACAAGATCAGAGATTTTAGTCAGACCAAATTTCATGCAAAAAACGACTCGTGCTCGTCCCCGCCAAACTCCCTCCTCAACTTCCCCGAAAACGGGCGGCACGCTTCCATGCTGAGGTCGGCAGCCGCCGAGAGAGCCACGAACAGGGCAGCCTCCCCCACGTGGCGCGCCCCCACCTCCACCCCGGGGGGCCCGCCCGCACCCCCTTCCCCTCCCACGCTCGACCCCATCACAAACCCAAACGAGCCACCACCACCGATGCAGAACCTACCGCCTTTCCTGGCACTGATGGTCCCTTCCGAGACGGGACTGCCCGCGAGCTCGAACCTGTAGCCCAGGGCATCCCCCCTCTCCCGCCAGGCCTCCAGCCGGCCCCATGGCTCCCAGCCGAAGGGGGAGGGGCGCAGGACGAGCCACGCGCCGGGGCTCGACCGGGAGACACGGTGGGACCCACGGGACGGGACGAACGGCGTGATCATGGAGGCGGCCGCCACGGCCGAGCCCGAGAGGTCGTGCACCGTAACCATCCACCCCTTGCGCGGGCCCACGGGCCCGTCCCTGTCGCTCGAGAGGGTCCGCCTCAGCCAGCCCAGCCGGGTGGCGCTGCTGCTGCTGCTGGCGTTGAAATCCGAAGGGAGAGATCTGAATATTATACATAAATGTGTGAAGAGGAAGGAGATTAATAGAGTGGAATAATTGTATGGGGACATAAAAGACAAAGGTTATGATGACCAGAAATCTTTGCACATGCATTGGGAATCCACTGGTGGTTGGTTGCCGGATAGTTTAATCACAAGGACTTGGGATTAACATTTATTTCTTCGTTTGACCGGATTAATTCCATCAACATTATTAATTAAGAGATGTTTTGATTAATTATTAAGAATCTCCTGCTTAATTATATACATGTTCAGTTAATTGTTTTTACAGTTGGAAAAAATTAATTCTTTATTAGTAAAAATAGAACATCTTCTTTTGGGAGATGATACGGTCCCGCTACGGAACCATTTCGTTGGAGTTTGTAGCCGTTAAATCAACTATTTCCGAGGTTATATGATGATCCAACGGTTATAAACCTAACAGAATGATTTCGTAACGGGACCGTAACATTTTCCCTTCTTTTGTACTAGTGAAGAAACACTTTATGGAGTTGGAATAGTGCTAAAGTCAAAGATTAAGATGAGGAAAAATTAAAGAATTCCAATTAATCACGAAACAGATTAAAGAATTCCAACTCTAAAGAAAAACTGCAGGTGATTTCTGTGTTGAATTTGCCACTTTAGAACAAATGATAAATTGAAATCAT